TACAGCGCGATCTTGTGGAAACTGCCCGAATGGAGAGTGTTGAAAGCCAGATCACGGTATACCGAAGGTTTGACGGTGAATGAGGCAGAATACCATGGGTTGTTACTATGTCTGGATCAGTTGGAGGATCTGGATCCACAGCGTCTGGTGATCTGCGGAGACTCGAACCTGGTGATCCGACAAGTGCGAGGAGAAATTGATTGTAAGGCGCCAGGTCTGACACTGTTACGTCAGCGAGCCTTGGATCGACTGCGTAAATGGCCAGATCATGAACTATTGCACGTCAAGCGAGACTGGAATGGGAGTGCTGACAGCCTAGCTAGTGCTGCTCTACAACGGCAATGTGGGATCGAGATAGAGTCTGATGCAGAGATCCAGGATCGCATGACTTTGAATAGGCTAGATGAGATCCTGATAGTGAAAGTCGAAGAAGAGACCCTACGATTATCAGCGGTGACGACCCGATCTAAGGCTAGATCGGGGGTACGTGCGGGATGTGATCCAGACTCCTTACGAGAGGAAGTCGTGAGGGAGCTACGGATCGAGCGGATCCGACATGCGCAGGACAAGGAGTTGTAGATCATGGGCTTGAAGAAATATCTAACCGGGGAGATCCGGGATCTGACACAAGAAGAGGCTAGAATGTTCGAAGTCATTGCCATGAATTACGAGGTGGATCAGCGGGATCTACTCTTCTATTGCCCGACATCTAAGGAAGCGGCCGCAGATCGAGATAAGCTGATGCGACTAGTGATACCTGAGACGCTTCAACAAGACATTCTGCACCACTATCACACGAGTCTACAAGGCGGTCACCAAGGGGTCGGTCGCACCTATGACTGAATCCGTGATCACTTCCACTGGAGGGGTTTGTACAAGAGTGTACAACGGTATGTGGGGGAATGCGTCGACTGTGAGACAGGCAAAGGAAGACCTCGGATCCAGGGCGGGTCGCCTGGTAACCTTCAGGCAACGTACCCATTTCAGATTATTGCCATGGATCATATACCCTCGCTGCCTAGATCCTTCAACGGCAA